AAAGCACCACATTTAGCCAAATGAAGTGGAAAATCCGTCAGCCTCTTCAAGAAACTTTTCCAGATACAGACACATATCTTCTTTTACAACAAGCGCAAGCAATGGGATGTCCTTCCTGGGGACCTACATTTGGGAGCCCTTTGCAAAACTACGTATCACGCAGAGCTCATGGGTTCTACTCATGCTGATTGATTCTGCAGTAGCCAACATTCCTTTTCAGTTTTCTTCAGTTAAACTCCTGCACTCCTGTCTGTCCCTGGCTTCCACTCCACCATAAGCATCTGAAGAAGTAGACTAAACTCTGCGAAAGGTAATGCTACAAACAGCTTTTTTCCACCCAGTTAGTCTCAAAGGAGCTACAAAATCTCTATGATATAATAGACATCACTGAAACTTGGTGGGATGAGTCTAATCATTAGAATGTGGTATAACTAATTTCAGAAAAACAGATCAAACAGGAAAGGAAGTGCAATATTATATGTCAAGGATGTTTACACCTGTGAAGAGATCCATGGCTTAAAGCCTGAAAACCTGGTTGCGAGCATCAGGGTAAAACTTAAGGGGGAGAGAAACAATAGGGATGTTATTGTGAGGGTCTACAACAGAGCCCCAAGCCAGACTGAGGACTTGGATAATGCCATCCTGGAAGAGATGACCTAACGTTCAGAAAGAAGAGATATAGTAGTAAAGGGAGATTTCAACTATCCTGATATTTGTTGCAAGTCAAACTCTGCCAAGACTACAAGATCCAAAAAATTCTGCACTTGCTTTCAGACAATTTAATTGGAAGAGGCAACAAGATGGTCAGCTATTTCAGATCCTGACCAACAGTTAATCCATCCCATTAACAACCTGGTCAATGGAATGGATGTGGCAGGATCCTTAGGTGGGAGTGACCATGTTCTCCTGGAGTTTGTTATACAGTGGAAAGGTGAAGCCAAGCAAAGTCAGACATGCACTCTAGACTTCAAGTCCAACCTATCTTTGGGACCTCCTCCTCCCATATAATCCTCCGTGCACACTTGTCCCCTGGGAGGAATTTGCTCCAGCCATTAAAATCTAGACTGTCTGCAACCTCCCAGATGGCATTCTTGGTAATCGCTCCAGATTATGGAATGGCCTGCCGGACGAGATCCATCAGATTACAAATTTAAGCAGCTTCAGAAAGGCTGTGAGGATGGATTTCTTTCAGCAGGCCTTTCCTGACTAGAATTCCTGGCCTCAGGAGCCTTTTTAAATTAATGTATTGGAGCCTTTTAACTTACCTTTCCTATTGTTGCTGCCTTGTTTGTTTCCCTGTTTTAGACTGTTTTTTAATGTTGATGTTTTATTTATGCTGTTTTAATGGTTTTCTGATTTAATACTTT